TAAACCCCAAACCGTAAACCCTAAACCCTAAACCCTAAAACCTTAACCCTAAACCCTAAACCCTAAACTCTAACACTTCTCAACTCCTCAACCCCAGAACTTCACCCGCCTTCTGGAAGCCAGGACCGTGAGTTCACATCTAGCCAAGCCTGGACTCCGGGTTTAGGGTTTAGGGTTTAGAGTTTAGGGTTTAGGAGTTGGGGTTTAGGGGCATTCTTGGACTAAGGATGACAGCATTGCCCGGTAGATTGAGGGGCACCCTCCCCTCTCCTCCTGTTTTGAGAAAATGCCCATGTCTGCTCAGGAACTCCCTCTCTAAACCCTAAACCCCAAACCCTAAAACCCCAAAACCCTTAAACCCCAACACCCAAACCCTAAACCCTAACACCCCAACACCCCCAAAAGCTCAAAACCCCAAAACCCTGAAACCCCAAACCCTAACACCCTAACACCCCAAAACTCAAAACCCCAAAACCCTGAAACCCCAAACCCTAAACCCTAACACCCCAAAAACTCAAAACCCTCAAGACCCTGAAACCCCAAACCCTAAACCCTAACACCCCCAAAAACTCAAAACCTCCAAGACCCTGAAACCCCAAACCCTAAACCCTAACACCCCCAAAAACTCAAAACCCCCAAGACCCTGAAACCCCAAACCCTAAACCCTAACACCCCAAAACTCAAAACCCCAAAACCCTGAAGCCCCAAACCCTAAACCCTAACTGGTGGAAACTGGACTGAGGCTGCGAGCTCGGACGTGTAGCTTGGCCATCTCGCGAGCCTCGCGTGCACTTTGAGAGTAGGCTGGCTGTAAGGTTTAGGGTTTAGGGTTTAGGGTTTACGTTTAGGGTTTAGGGTTATTTAGGGTTATTTAGGGTTATTTGTTTAGGGTTTAGGGTTTAGGGTTTAGGGTTTAGGGTTTAGGGTTTAGGGTTTAGGGTTTAGGGTTTAGGGTTTAGGGTTTAGGGTTTAGGGTTTAGGGTTTAGGGATCCACAAGGAAGATCAACATCCACAGGCCACTCTGCCTCCGGAGAGCCCGCCAGGAGGAAGTAGGGCCTGCAGCTGCCACCGGAGACCACCTAGTCCCTTGGGGCCCACTTCATCTCGGGACCTAGGGTTTAGGGTTAGGGTTTAGGGTTTAGGGTTTAGGGTTTAGGGTTTAGGGTTTAGGGTTTAGGGTTTAGGGTTTAGGGTTTAGGGTTTAGGGTTTCGGGTTTCGGGTTTAGGGTGTACAGGACCATATGCCCCAAAGAAGGCCTTCACTAGCCCAAATGAATCTTCATAGGGGGCTATGGTGACCCCTTTTCGCCCTTGCGAGTTCCTCTTGACCCGGCACTGGCTTGGTCTACCCTAAACCCTAAACCCTAAACCCTAAACCCTAAACCCTAAACCCTAAACCCTAAACCCCCCAAACCCTAGAAGATCCCGAGGCCATCGCCCTCCTTCCCCATCTGCGCAGTCGTTAAGGGAGACATGGGCGCCTGTCTCCTGGTCAAGCAGAATCCCGAAAGGAAGGCCTGTGGGGCCTTGCACGATTTCTGATCTCAGCCAAACTTCAGTGGCATGGATGGCTCCAGCCAGCGAGCATGAGTTTTTAGGGTTTAGGGTTTAGGGCTTAGGGTTTAGGGTTTAGGGTGCAGGGTGTAGGGTTTAGGGGCTTGCGCAAAGAAGTGAATGCTTGCAACAAGACGGTAGGACGCATGTACTGAATACAGCGGTGCTCAAGCAGTAGACGCAGAGCTGACCAACACCTGTGGCCTGGCTCACAACCTACTGCGCAAACTTGTTTCATTTCGCTTGGAGCACAAGCAAGTCTAGGCGGGGAATTCCCGCAGCCTGGCTCATCTCGTGCAGTACGTGCGGCCTCGGGAAGAGGTCGCCGGATGGTTTTTCATAACACGGGCAAGAAGGCGAAACAGAATTGTAGCAGCCATATGCAACCGTGAACTGTCGTTTAGGCCTTGCGCTGGTAGACTCTCAACTTTTGTGGGACCTACCTCCCCTGCCTAGGGTTTAGGGTTTAGGGTTTAGGGTTTAGGGTTTAGGGTTTAGGGTTTAGGGTTTAGGGTTTAGGGTTTAGGGTTTAGGGTTTAGGGTTTAGGGTTTAGGGTTTAGGGTGTAGGGTGTAGGGTGTAGGGTGTAGGGTTTAGCGTTAGACCATCCACAAATGCCAGGATCTCGCCCCGACACCACAGTTCCCTAACGAGGCTTCCCCGCAATCTGCCAACCTCTGCACCCCTAAACCCTAAACCCGAACGCCTAAATCCTGACCCTAAACCCTAAACGCTAAACCCTAAACCCTAAACCCAGCCCGCATCATGGCCCCTGGCCCTGCCCAGAGTTGCTGTGCCAGAAAGCGTGGGCAGGCGATGGTGGCACCATCTGTCCAGAGATCTTGTATTTAGGGTTTAGGAGTTGGGGTTTAGGGTTTAGGGTTGAGGGTTGACGGTTGAGGGTTTAGGGTTTTGGGTTGTGGGGTTGTTTCGGGTTTAGGGGCTTGGGGCTGTGTTCAGGGTCTAGGGGTTTAGGGTTTTGGGGTTTGGCGTTGGAGTTTTAGGATCATCATGAGTGCAGGGTAGACTCTCGTGTTTGGTAGTATTTTGATCAACTGCCCTGTCTCAACCCAATTTTCCGCCTCGCATTGATCAGCCGAGCAGTCCTACGATCTTCCTGACTCGGCTTCTAGGTCGCACGTGTGGGCATGACTAGGGAGTATTGCGCCCAGTCATACCGGAAACCTCACTATCACAACAGCCAACAGAGTCTCCTGTTGCCGTCTTATCGACGCCGTTCTGTGGCGCTTCCCCACTAATATCAGGCAGTGCCCGAGGCCAAACCAAGCGCAGGATTCAAGAGGGGCAGCTTTCAAGCGTTTAGGGCTAAAGCGTATTCGGGCGAAGGGTGATGGACCTTCAGAGGACGAACCCGGCATGGTTTGATCGAGAGAGATAGGGCTGCTGCCAGCTAGTGCAACTTGCCGAAATCAACTTGCTGCGGTGACCTGCGACGGAGGCTTCGAGGAACTTGGGTAAGGTGGACGCTGGCCAGGGGAATAGCAGGGCAGGTACAGTGCCTGGTGCCGGTTCAATGCGAAATGCCGGTACGTGGAGCATACCGTCAGCGATTCAATGCCAGACCATAGCCAGATATAGCCCTTCAGCTGGCCCGGGCGGGCGGGAAGAGAAGAAGATCCCACCATGCTATACCCTCAACTCCTAGCCCCCCCTAAACCCCCCAAAACCATCGCGCCGACACTTTGGCTGCTGGGGCGTCGGGGGGCCTTCTGGAAGGTTCTTGGTCGCGTGTGGCCCATGGGCCGCTTGTCATCCGCCATCCACGCCTCTGAATATTCAGAGCACCCAGCTTCCAGTCTTAGGGCAATTAGGGTCCAAAGAAGGCAACCCTAAACCCTAAACCCTAAACCCCAAACCCCAAACCCTAAACCCTAAACCCTAAACCCTAAACCCTAAACCCTAACCCTAAACCCTAAACCCTAAATCAAGGGACCATGTAACTTCCCCCTAGAACTAATACCTCAAAGCTTGAACTCAAAGGCCCAAACAGCACGCGAAGCCGGGCCTCTGCAGCCAGTTCCACAAGCAGCCCCTCACGGGCAGCCTCCCAAATGGGGTTTACGAAAGTAGGGGTGCCTTCTTGGGGTCCTTATCATAAGGGACTCCTACTATTTGGGGGTTGATATTGGGGGTCTCTGATTTTCGTAACCCCCCCAAATGGGGCGTAGGCGCTTGGGCTTTGCAGTTGGGGGCCCAAGCGGGTGCGCGCGCCTCAGCCACCGACAGATGAACGCCTGAGCTTGAACCGTCCCAATTCTTTCGGAAGTCGCATCGGAGCCCTAGAAGAAGTCTGTGGAGGAGATGACATCTCTCTGTTTTCCTTCCTCTCTCTCTCTCTCGCTCTCTCTCGCTCTCTCTCTTCTCTCGCTTCTTCTTCTTCTTCTTCTTCTTCTTCTTCAAGTCGTCTTCTACGGGGCTTGAAGGGCATGACCGCCCCCCCACCCCCCCCCACTGGGCGCGCCCAGGATGTGTCACTCTCTCACTCTCTCACTCTCTCACTCTCTCACTCTCTCACCCTCTCACCCTCTCACTCTCTCACTCTCTCTCACTGTCTCTCTCCCTCCCTCTCTCCCTCCTTCAAAGGATCTTTTTTGCAATCATGCCTTTTTGAGATTCTGGAGCTTAGACGGGCGCACGGCAAGATGCCAGAGATGCATTACACGGGTCTTCCAACATGCAGCTGTGGGGCGCCCCACGTGCCTTCGCACAAAGTCCGCTCCGCGAAAGTGCCTTTGCAACACACCGCTTCTCAACCCAAACAGCGGCATAACTTAGTGTTGGTTATTGTAGAAAGAGAAGGAATACTTCGTTCTCACATTACTTATCATGCCCTATTCCTTCATTCCTTCACTCCCGAGCCAACAGTAAGAGCAGTGCAGGGTTATTCTCAGTCCTAGCTGCTTGGCACAGAGCCGACACTTGAACTTCTCATCCGTCACCTTCACGATCGCTTCCTCCGTTGCCTCCACGGGTGTGTTGCACTAAGCCCTAAGCCCTAAACCCTCAGCCCTAAGCCCTAGACCCTAGTCCTAAACCCTAAATCCTTAAACCTGCGGGATCCCCGACTTCGAACATGACATGGCTTGATACGACGTGCCACATGGGGGTTTCCGAACATACGGGTACCCTTTTGGGGGTCCCTTTTTGAGGGGATTCTATTTTATTTGGGGTAGAAAAAGGGTAGCCCTACTTTGGGAAATGCCCACATGGAGCTTGACCTACTTTCTGAGCTCTTCCTGAACTTTCAGGACTACTTTTGGACTCACATACGACAAACGAGGCTCGCCCTCTGACCCCCCCCCCTTTTCCCTCCAAATAGTGCAAATAAAACCAAAGGGTTGACTTTGGGATGTTCCCCTTTATACTCACAGCCCTTCATCGAGATTGCAATGGGGGGGGGGTACTATAATCCCTGTTAAGGACGGTTAGCATAAGGGGGAACATCCCAAGGTGAACTCCTCGAACGGCATGCAGAGGCCTGCGAGGTGCGCGGCGCAATGCGGGCATCGGTGTGGTCCGGGACGTCTGCAGGCCGGTCTAACGACCTTTGGCAGAAAGAAGGGCCATGTGGGGGGGGGGGGGGGGGGGGGTTGGTCCAGGCATGGGCATCTGTGATTCTTGCCTGATTGCCTGGCACTTCTGCTCTCATGTCCGTTGCTGCAGCCGAGCTGCGCGTTGGCCAAGAACCTCTCCAAGCGCTCTTCGTGGGAGCTGGTCCACGCTCCCGGAGCGCTGCCCGGCTGCGCCGGCTCTCTGACAACCGCGACGCCGCAGGCGTCGCGCAAGGACCACTCGTCGTCGCACCAGCACGCCGAGTAGAAGCAAAAGTGGTGAACGCGGCGAAGGTAGAGAATGCGCACATCCAGTCTGAATTCCGAGGAACCCTCCACGTTCAACATCAGGTTGGTGATGTCCTGGGCTGGGACGCTTATAAGCCCTCAGAAAAAGGATCCCTGCACATGATCCTCCTAAACTTCCTAAACCCATTCAAAAATGGACAAGATTCCTACAACAGTGATCCTCTTTTTCATCTCTTCAACCCAACACAAATAAGGGAAAATTGAAAAAAAAAAACATCCCACTTGGGCCCCGAAGATCCGGAGGCACCTGCATCAGCCCATCCAGGCGCTGGATCACCTGCTCGGACCAGTCCAGGTCTTTCAGGAGTCGTTGCGGCAGAGACATCTCCTGGGGCAATTGGGGGGGGGGGCAGGGACACAAGCGCATGAGGTTTTGTAGGGATTTCTTCTTCTTCTCCTTCTTATTATCATTATTTCTTCTTCTTCGTATTCTTTTCTTTAGTATGATTGATTCATTATAACTGTTTCTATTTGTATTTCTTATTATGAGTAGTAGATTTTTGTCTTGTTCTATGTTCTCTTGATAATTCTACGTGGTTGTTGAGGATGTTTCGGTTCGGTGGCAACAAGCCCCTGGTCGCCTGGGGCAGCACCAGCGCACTCAAGCCGACCTTCGGGGACAGGACGGAGACGCGGCCGGCTCCCTCCATCCCTGGCGCGGTTTAGGGAGGGTTTAGAGTTTCGGGTTTCGGGTTTAGGGTTTAGCAGAATGTCGGTGTTGCCAGGACTGCCCCAAAACCCAAAATCCATATAAAACCCATGTAACCCCCCCCCCCCCCCCCCCCCCCCCCCCCCCCCCCCCCCCACCCCCCCCCCCCCCCTCACCAAAAGAAGGCGACAGTGATAGTGCCCCCCCCCCCCCCCCCCCCCCAAACCTTAAACCTTAAACCCTAAACCCTAAACCCCAAAAAAAAGAGGAGATAGTGGGAGCCCCAGCGGAGCACCTGGTCCGAGAGAAGGTGTGTCGGCGTCCGCATGAGAATGACGGCGGCTGCGGTGGCATCCGCGGCCGAAGCGAACCGTCTTAGGATGTCTTAGGGGCTGGCTTTTGAGGCCGGGGGTTGTTTAGGGTTTAGGGTTTAGGGTTTAGGGTTTCGGGAACTCCTCCCCTCCGCCCCCCAACCACCCCTCCCCCCCCCCCCACCCACCACCATGCCGGCACCCCACCTGGCGTAGAAGTTGCGCTCCAGGCTCGGATTGAAGGGCGTCCAGGCAGCAGTGCAAAAGCCCGTGCAGTCCTGCAAAACACCATGACACATCCTCCACCTGCCCAACGTCCCCCCCACGGTTTCTGGGGATCCTGGATGTGGTCCAGGACATTCCATACACTCGCTGCCGGTGGAAGCCCACCTTAAAACACGTGCACAAAAACACGGTGTGTTTGCTTTTCGGTCACGAGGCTCCGTGGCCTGAAATGCTCTGAGAACTTCTGCCGGGTGGCAGATCATCAAGCAGTCAACGTCAGGGTCAAAGGCAAACTCCGGTTCTTGCAGGTGTCCGGCTACGGGACATGATGCTCCGGATCGCGCCTGACTGGCTTGGAGAGAGAGCCCTCGGTACCTGGCGGCACCGTTCATCGTCAGCCCATGAGTCAACTAGTGTAGTCATGCATCAATACAAGAATGTGAAAGCATGTTAACATAATAAGAGTGGATCTGAGTGGCCCCACGCCCTAAGCTCTACAACACAGCGCAACCCTTTGGTGGCGCCTTCCCTCTCGAAGGTCCTGCGCAAAGACCGCCGCGCCCAGCTGCGCCAGGCTGAGGCGGGAGTCAAATCGCCGGAGCCGGGAGAGAGGATGGTAGAGGTCAAAGAAGAGCCCCGTGTCCTTGAGTGTCTCCAGGTCTTCCTTCATCCACTTGCTGATCTCTTTCTGGTACAAGTCCAGCACGGAGTCTGGAGAGTCCTCATCGGACACGTGCTTCAGGACGAAGTCGCGGAAGCTGGGCCTACTGGTAGCTGCCTTCACTGGCTCCATGTGCTCCTTGTGCTCCTTGTGCTGCTTGTGCTCCTTGTGCTCCTTGTGCTCTGTGTCCTTTGCGTCCACGGCGTCCCTCTCGGGACTCGACGATGGACTCATAGCCGCTGGCGCGGCATCGGCGACCAGGCGCCGCTGTGCAGCTGGCTTCTGCGAAGGATGCGAAGGGGATCGGCTCTCGAAGCGGGCTCGGCGCTGGGGAGTCTGGGGAGTGCGTGTCCGGCTGGGGCTGCTGCGACGAGAACGGCGCCGAGGGCTCTTGCTCCGGCGTCGGAAAGTGCAGGGCCCGTTCTTGCCTCCCTTGCCCGACTTGCCCATGCCCTTGCAAGAAAGCATATGCATCCAACACGTTGGGCGGACAGGATGTGCAGATGAAGACATCTGAGCATACATCACTTCTAACCGGGCCTTTCCACCCCTGGGCTTCTCATCGCATTCGCGGCCGTCGGGGTGGTTGAACCTGACAATCAAGAGCAGCAGAGCGCACTTCACAGAAACTCTGGTCGTTCCCAACATTTCTGGACTGCGCGATAAGATGTGAGGGCCCCGAGGGCGAAACCAGCAGGTTGAGCGAGTGCAGTTGCGGCCGTACCAGCAGGTTACGGTGTGGCGGTTGGTGACTCCGGGGCCACCTGCGCAGACCCAGAGGCCCCATCGTCCTATAGGCCTCCTACCTATGCCTGAAGTCGGTCAGCATAGCTTAGCATAGCTTAGCATAGCCTAGCACAGCTGCCCTGATTCTGACGATACCCAAGTCAAAGTCTCATGGCCTTTGTAGCCAGTTCGGCCGCGGGAGCGGGGGCGCTGGGAGCGGGTGCGCTGGGAGCGGGGACGCTGGGAGCGCTGGGAGCGCCGGGAGCGCGAGCGCCGAGAGCGCCGCGAGTGCCGGGAGTGCCGGGAGTGGGAGCGCGTGCGTGGTTTCGACGCAGAGCGCTCACGGTTTGAGCACTCGCTGGCCTCAGGGGTCACTGTTTGCAATATTCTCGACATGCCATACTAGTATATCATGTCTGTAAACATCAGCCACATGGCTGAGTTCCGACGATCTGAGCCGAGAACAGCCTCAGGATCCTTCTGTGAGCCGGCGCTGCTAGCGACATTTGAAGCCTCGGAGGAGCTGTCGGTATCACTTTCCACGGGCACCTTCAGCAGGGCTCTTGACAGTGGTGTTCCCCTAGGTTGGGAGGGGAGCTACAAAATTCACCTAAACCCTAAACCCTAAACCCTAAACCCCAAACCCTAAACCCCAAACCCTAAACCCTAAACCCTAAACCCTGAACCCTAATGGGCTTGTGTCTCATCTTGGGCCTCCACGTCCTTGGCTTGGCTTTCCTTCTTGGCCGAGCTCCCGGAGGGGCTGTGCACCATGGCGGTCGGAAAGCGCAAGAGAGCAACTTGAGAGCAAGATCGCGTCTGAGCCTTGGCAGCTGCCACATACTCACATACTCCGAAGCATGCACAGCCGGAGTTTGCAAGGAACTCTCCCCTTCCGCACCTCTGTCTGCGGCCGAACACACAGCCACCCATGAAGCCCTAAACCCTAAACCCCTAAACCCGAAACCCTAAACCCCAAACCCTAAACCCTGACCCCCCCCCACCCGCACCCCTCCCTCCACACCCGAACCTGCTGACCAGGGCCTGGCTGCCTCAGCTTGGCTCAAAATCTCCGATCTGGGTGTTCGGCTTTTAGGGTTTAGGTTTAGGGGGTTTGGGGTTTAGGGTTTAGGGTTTAGGCTTAGGGGTTTCGACGGCTGAACAGGTGGGGGCCTTGGAAGCCCGAAAGCTAAAAACCCCCTTCTGAGCGGCCGACGGGGCGGGGCGGCCGATACGGCGCTCCTTTGCCAGCCTTCGAATTTTGATGCATTTGGGATTCTTAGGGCTTAGGTACCCTTGTGGGCTTAGGTTCCCGAAACCCTAAACCCTAAACCCTAAACCCTAAACCCTATACCCTAAACCCCTTAAAGCCATCAAAGGGCTCCTTGTGTATTCTGAGGTTCCTGGGAGACGCCGGGCTTCTTGTGACATGTGGCTTAAGAGGATCCAAGGGCTGGCGATTCTCTCACAGAGTCTCATCTTCTTAGGGTTTAGGGTTTAGGGTTTAGAGGTCGGATAGCAACCTGAACCCCAAACCATGAAGCCTGAACCCTAAACCCCTTGACACCAGCAAACGATAAAAACCCTGAACCCTACCACGCTAAACCCTGAACCCTCAACCTCGAAACCCCTAACCCCTAACCCCTAACCCCTAACCCCTAAACCCTAAACCCTAAACCCTAAACCCTAAACCCTAAACCTCCAGATGCTCTCTGAGTTCGCTGCCCACGGTCTGGGCGCCCAGGGCCGCAAAGGCTGCCGTGGCCGTACCGGAGGCCACCTCAATGGCTGAACAAAAGGACACTCAAGGGTTTAAGTAGGTTTAGGGTTTAGGGTTTAGGATTTAGGTTTTTTTGATTTTGTTTGTTTAGGGTTTAGGGTTTAGGGTTTAGGGTTTAGGGTTCAGGGTTCAGGGTTTAGGGACCTATGGGATGTTCCCCCTTGTACTAACAGTCCTTACTAGGGATTATAGTGCCCCCTATTATAATCCCTG